AGTGCACAGTTGCGCGGACTCCACTCATCCGACGCTCAGCTGGATGGTCGGTTTCTATTGCACTCGGTACGTGCGGGCGATGACGAACGACTGTTTCAGCTGTGCACTAACCACAGACTGTTTTGATGCATTCCTGTACTTCGGAGTAACAAATCGTCTAGCTACGTGGTGCCCTAAAACAGTGCGAGTTATGGACCAAAACTGATCACATCGCCCTCAGTTACGGATGATGTGTATCAGTAAAACAGTGTCACTTCTGAACGAAAAGTCACAAGTTCTGAAGTTGCATACCCATCGAATCAGTGACACAAAGAATTGGCGACTTATGTGAGAACGTTAGGTTCGAAGATCGCCCAAGTGGTTAGAGCGCAAATTTATTGACCGGAAGGTCCATGGTATGAACCAGACCTCTGCCTCTCGACTTCCCTTGGGCGTGGCAGTTGGGCACCGAAAGGGTGCTACAGCTGAACGATTTTTTAGATTTTAAGAAACCTTTTGAGCAAAACTGTTTGCGCATGTTGATTTTCGGGTTGAAGGGAGCTTCTCATTTAGGCTGTCTTAAACGGATTCAGAAGTCAAAATGTCGGTTATGCAGCAGTTTCTTTCCATAGGTTATGTCTGAAAATAATTCTCGCATGACAAAACCGCGCTGTCCTTTTCGTACTTATCACCAATTGTGATGCATATTTTCCGTCCATTTTGTACTGTTTTGTGAGATCATTTTATCAATTACCCGTACTTTTGGTCGAATCACACTAGTCTAGGTTACTCATTTTTTTCTAGTTTATACAACACCACTACAAGAAAATCCAAACCAGTTATGATGGGAATAAATTTAGCTCTGTCATTCTCTTGCCATTCACTTTTCCATTTTTTATGTCCCCCTGTTTCAGAGATCTGGTTTCTGCATATGGCGCTAGCATCCTTTCCCTCGTTGACGTGGACTCCATAGCTAATGTGCTCCAAAGAGGCCGACGCGCCAAGTCATCACGGACCAAGAACTTGGCTGTTTGGGCGACCAAAGAGATACGTAAACTCAAGAATGTTGCGCACAATGTTGATTTAGCAGCAGTTTCCGGGTCCTCTGTAACACCGTCTGGCTGTTCAACTGCGCAGGCGTCTTAGCTAGGCATATATGGACCGAAGATCAGGTAAGTTAGATGCCACCTATTTTTCATATTGTTATTCCTTGTTCACTATCATAAATGTCCAGTTGCCAGCCTAAAGTATTCCTCGTTGGCTAGTTCAAACAGCGGAATGCTAAGAGCCTATGCTTGTGGATTTCGATTCCATTCTGTGCCATGGTTTAGCAACGAACTGACTTTCGAATGTCACACATGCTTTTTCAGTAATACTTCCAATTTGATCACATTGACGTGATAGCTTTCCGGGCATCACTGGCATAATCAACAGTCTGTTTTAAAGGACGTTCATTAGTCATAGTCGCTTATGTTAACCGATACTTTGGATAAATTTCGCGGTTCGAGATCATGTTCTTGCCAGTTTTGTCTTTAGATATCCCAGACGCTAAAAATGACCGCTTGAGCCACCTTGTTTAATGTATTATCTTTCCCGAAAAAGCTACACTCATGGTCATACCGCTAAGATTCCTTACTTAGTGAAATTCTCTCGCATCTTCCTTGGGACGCTCGATGTCTTGTTCTTGCCGGAGGCTCAATTCTTCACGTGTGCACGCCGGTTTCGCCTCTTGATATTGTGTTCCACAGTTTAAGTGCCGCCGGCGATTCTCTTGACACGTCAGTTTGGCGAGCCTTAATGAATGTTGTCTTGCTTTTTCGATTCACTAATTTTTGGTATCCATTTTAGATATATATATATATATATATAGAGAGAGAGAGAGAGAGAGAGAGGACAAAAATGATGCAATGAACGAAGCCTAATGTGCATAGGTAAAGCAGTTATAATCCAATAGGTTTCGCTGATAAACAAAATAGATATCAACCTTCGAACACCCATTGGTCTATTTTTCAGAATACGAATTTGTCTGTTTACATTGTGTCCGGGCTTGTGTCTGATTAGATTCACCATTCTTGGTGTAATTGCTTCATGATCGAGTTTCATGCTTCATGACTTGTGGTTGCATAGTTTGTTCTGTCTCATGAAGCCCTTAATCAGCTTTGTTCGGCTGTAACACGCTTTCGGTACCGAACTGTCATGTCACTGGAAGGAAGCACGAGTGCTGGGATATTGCCAGGTCGCTCAAGCCTAGACAGGGGAAGTTGAGAGGCAGAGGTCGGGTTCGAACCGTGAATTCGTGCCCTTACCAACTGAGCCGTATCGGCCCAGTTCAACTTCACCAACTAAGAGTGCAACACCCTCTGAATAGATGCCACCGCGCCCTGCCAAACAACTTTGTCTGATGGGCAACACTGATTGATATTGTATTTCTAACATCTGTTTACTTGTTGATTTTAGGCATCCATGGGATCCCTCACAATCCCTATTTCCCAGCTGTTTCTTTATCCATTTCATTCCGTTTTTGCGGGACTAACACCCTAACACAGCGAGTTTATCAGACACCCCTTTCCACACATGTACACATTTACACAGTTCCCTGCGATCCCCTGTGGTGCTCAATGTCCCATTGTAATGAACACGCAACAGCTACATGATGCAGAGCAGGAGCTGTGGTGCCGTCCCAATTGTATCTACATGAGCTATCACCCCAGATACCCACTTTTCTACCGTCTATCCTTTCTACCTAGATCTAATCCTACACACACACACACACACACACCGGAACACAACCCTTCTCTGTACATTCTTTCCCCACCTTATTGCAACAGATCAGTCCCGATAGGAGTTTTCGCGGACACATTTCGTCCTATCGTCTCTTTCCAACCGCGCGTTCTGTGGTGCCTCCTTTTGCATGTGCTGTTCGACGAGGCAGTTCGCCTTTTGAAAGACTCGATGTGACGCTTATCGTACGATGCTTCTGACATCTCCATTGTTACCAGAATCAATAACCTATTGATTGGTTGTCCAGCTGTCTTGTTTAACCACCCTGCTTGAAGGGAATCCACATATTAGATAGCGCATCTACCTGTTAGACATTCAAGTTTGTTAGGTGGTATATTTGGGCAATGGAGTGTGTGGTGAGTTAATTTTAGTAGTAGATCTTGTAGAGTGGCTTTCCGTGAAGTGCACAATCAAACCTAGTGATATATAGCCCATTAAGTCCTCCCTCTTTCGGGAGTGTGAAGCGTAGTCTGGGTCTGGCGGCCATCTGTGTGACAGCGGTATATGTATCTATAAGAAATGAGTATTCGCCTCACTTTCGTCTCGTTTGCCTATTACAGTTTAGTCATCTATTTTGGTGTCTTTTAGTAGGTAACATTGCAGTGGCTCCTT